AGGGTATCGACTTTTCCCGGGTGGTCGAATCGGACCTCGGGCTTGGCCACCCGGAATTGCCAAAATCGCGCGGAAGCGCGCTAGAGCTCAAGTTAGTATAAGGCTCAAAAAGCACCCCTTGAGCACCCCCTTTACAGTTTAGTGGCCTGGGGCTATAATTCGGGCATTCTTCATGTAAGTGGCCGCCAGGGCAGATGTCTCGGGCATTTCATTCAGGATGGGGCGTACTCAATGTGACAGCTTACGGGCTCCATGGGATATATCGGCCGAGTGTTGCCAGATTATAAGTGTGGATTGGGTTTAGGGTCAGTTGGCGGGTACTTTCAGAGGTTCTTTCCCATGATCGGGGGGCGATGCCGACTTCTTTTTTAGATTCTGAGTTTCCAAGTATAAATTGTTTTTAGACGGTTTGTAACGGTTCCCTATTAAAACTTTAGAAAGCTTTAGGCAGAAATAGCCCAAATCTATTTGACGAGGAATGTCCAATTTTTGGCCAAAATGTCAACTTTTTGGAAGTTTTAGGTGGTTTTTCTAATCGAAGTATAGTTATATATTAGCAAAAATACTTTTACAAGACGTTCTATTAACTTACTGGGCGGTTCTGGACGTTCAGGATGACTTTCGTGGCTATCTCGTCTGATAACCTTTGGTATGCGTTGTTCGCGTAGTTGTCGGATTTATGATACCGTATTCTCTAGACTACGCGGCATTTTTTGACTTGATGTTCGGTAAAACGCTAAAATCCCGACACCAATAATCCCGACAGGCAGAAGCTCCGGACTTGAAAGCCATTTATTGGTGAAACGACCGGAAGTAGCACATTTTGGCTGTCGGGATTTAGGCTGTCGGGATTATGTCTGTATTTCTTGATTTACCATAAACGCCACAGCGTGCGTAACCTGTTAGTTTTGTATGTCACATTGGATCGCTACCGTACCTGACCATGCCAAATCGTACTGTGCGCCGTATCCTCGCGGATTATACTGCGTTTCCGGGGTGTGCGCGTGTGAGTGTGACCTTGCCCCGGGGGCTGACCCTTTTAGACCCCCCCCCCCTTTTAGCCCGTTTAGACAGTGGTGACTTCCGAGGGTGATGGTCGACCTCTTTTTGCAGCCATAACAATCCTTAACCGTCCACCCGAGAGGGCGGATTAGCTCGGCTGTACTCTGTAATCTGGGTATACTTACAGTACGGCAATGCTGGCGCTGGTGTTCGCAAATTCTCCCTGCTGGTTGCCCATTTTTTCAGCTACTGTATTCGGTTCCCTGTGCGCACAATTTTTTTCGTTTTTCTTGGTTCTGGACTGTTAGCGGGGGGGCAACCTGTAATTTTTCCCTGTAATACTTTACGGCCCTATAACAAAATGAAAACCCTGTTTATAGCTTTTTACATAGTTTTTAGATGTAAAAACGATATCAAAATCTAAAAATTTTCGAAACTTTTTGTCTTTTTGGTCAAAAATGTATTAAAAATGACCAAAAAGATCGAAATTTTCAAATTTTAGAATTTTTTTGATAACTTTCTAGCAATCCAACAATTACTAAAAACGCGATAAAAACTACATAATAGATGATCGACAGGTAGGAGGTCTAGGTGAAAAAAAAAACAGAAATTGTTTTTTCCCCGGCTAAGCAGCCGTCCACCCCCCGCTAACAGTCCAGAACCGTCCTCATGCCGTCGTGTGACCTTCTTGGTGCCCCAACAAACTCTGCTAGCTTGGTTCTAGCTTAATACCTTTAAATGTGGTTTTTAGCTTCTGCTGATCAAAGAAACCTCGTAGTATGCTTGCTTGCTATTCCACCTTTGGATTGCTTTCATCCCAGCTTGCGTACTCACCCCTTTCATTCCTAGAAAATTTGATTCGGCGCCCCCGGGGGGCACAGGTCAGGGCAACGAAGGTGAGCCTCATTTTTTGGAGCTCACATGCCCAAATAATCTCTCCGAGCTTGCTCCACCGCAAACGTTCTTCGCTAGCTTGCCCGCGTTCCCAAACGACCTCTGCTTGCTTGCCCCACTTGCCAAACCCGAAGCCTAAGCCTAAACAAAGCCTAAGCCGAAGTCTAGGCTTAAGCCGCAACCTAAGCCTAATCCAAGCATATACTAAGCGTAAGCCTAAGCCTAAGCATAACCTAAGCCGAAGCCAAAGTCTCGGCCTGAGCCGAAGCCGAAGCATAACCTAAGCCAAGCTTAGACTTAACCCTAAGTCTAAGCCTAAGCTAAATGTAAGCTAAGCCTATAGTAAGCCTACCTAGGCCCATTAACACCTACTAATGGCATTGCTTTATCCGCTATGAGCACCAGCCTCTCTGTCTATGTCTTAGTCTCTCCGCGTAAATAAGCGTCTACGTACTAGAGCCTCAATATTTTCTCTGATGAGACTCGTTAGCCCATCTAGGCCCAAATTTTTCGCTGATCCTCACTGGCTCAAGGGCCCGCAAGCTGGGCACCACATCCCGCTCGCCTCCCCGGATTTATGGCGCAAAATAGGGCGCAGTTTTTGTGCGGGCGGCGCGCCCCATGTGTTGGCCCCCGGGGCCCTGGGCAGATTATGGGCGCGCCTGATCCCCGGCCGAGGGGGCTCGGGCGGCTGTTTAACGGGGATACGGTAGCCGGAAGGGCAATAAAATTGGCTGGCTTGATTACGTTTGAGGACCCAACGGGGGCTTCTGTTGATCTTGGGAAGGGGGGTTAAAGGGTCTCTGCTAATTGACCCTGGGTTTGTAGTAGTGCCTAGTCAATTAATAGAAACTGTTTTAATAGTATTTTTAGTCATATAGCCGCCCTTTCCTAAAGAATCTCTGCTAGCCTGCCCTTTCCTAAAGAATCTTTGCTAGCCTGCCTTTTCCTAAAGAATCTCTGCTAGCCTGCCCTTCCCTAGATAATCTCTGCTAGCCCGCCCAACACACCTGAAAGCTACCGTACCCGCGGTCACCCGCTTGTTCTTGATTCTCCCTCTCAAAGGCGCGGTAATGACTACCGTACCCCCTGTGGCCCCAATTTCCTCGTCTCGTTAACCTAGCCGCTTGCCCACCCCCTTAAAAATGTCATTTTCAGAGGGGGGCTTGTGTCGTCAGGGTTCGAATCGGATTTGGGGGCTAACGAATCGAGGGTAACGTGGAGGGCTTTGTAGCCCTAACGGCCAGGGCCACCGGGCCCTGGGGCACAAAGCCCCTGGCCCCTGCCCCTCCCCGGACCCTAAGCACCGCCACACCAATTTAATTCCGGGGCCCCCGAAACTGGGGCCTAACCTAAGAAGGGCCCCTGATTTCCTGGCTCCAGATTTTGGAGGAGGTGAATAAGCGGAAATTAGAGGTCCCCCCAGTTTAGAGGCCAACCTGGCGGGCTAAAGGGATGGCTTAAGCTTAGGCCAAGCATCGGCTTAAGGTTAGGCGTGCGTAGGCTTAGGCTTAGTTTTAGGCTAAGGCTTGGGCTTGACAAGCTAAGACAACGACCTCATAATGCCGATTAAGCGCCTGATTCCGAGCATCACCTCCCCCTCTCAGCTTCAAAAGTGGCTTGAAAAGCTTCATCCCTGAAATGCCCCCGGGGGCCCACTTGGCCCCGTGGCCATGCCCAGGGCTCTGGGGCCAATTCGGATGATCTGCCCATTTAGGGAGCGGGAAGTGGCGCCCGGGGAGCATATTCACATTGCACAAAATTCGCATTTCCAAGCCGGGGGGTTCAGGATGGGATGGTTGACCCGGGGAATCGCTTGGAGATAGCTTTGGCACGCAGCAGAACAACACGGGATTTTGACGAAAAATAAGATGCAAAAGTGAAAGGTGAAAGAACCAGAAAAATCCTTGATTAAGCTTAAGTCTAGTTCTAAGCCTATGGCCAATCCGAAGCCCTAAGCCTAAGCCTGAACCCAAGCCTAACCTAAGCCTACGTTTAAGCCTAATTCAAGCCGAAGCCTAAACCTAAGCCTAACCCTAATGCTAAGCCTAAGCCGAAGCCCTAAGCCCCGTAACCTTTCTCGCATTCCAAAATGATGCCTGCAGGGTGATCCGCTAGCTTGGTTTTCCCAAAGCGCTAAAAATTAGGGCAAAAAGAATTTGAAAGTTTGTGGTATCCGTGGTTTTTCAAGCTTCCCCATCCCTTTAAAACGCTTACCCGCGTACCCGACTGCCATCTGAATTGGCATAAGCTGATGGGCGCCGTTGGGCCGGGCCCCAGGGCCCAATGGGTGCCCAGGGCCCCGCCCTTAGCCTCCACCAGCCGCCCCCTTAAATTTCGCGGACGCCCCGAGGGCACTTGGGAGGTCCTTTGGGCCCTACCGTAGTCCATGCCGAGGTTGGCAAACCTTCAATGCCCTGGATTTAGCTATATGTTAGGGGCTGCCTCCACCGAGATCACGATAGAAAATAGTTGCCAAATATTTCCTTTGGAGTATTCGTTCCCTAGGGATTTCTGCTAGCTTGCCCTGTTCTGGTCTCTTGAAACGTGACTTAAAGCTAGTGTGAACCATTGGCACCACACATTGCCCACTCCCCACTCTTATTCAACTACTGAATAAAGTATATATATATAGTTGTACAATTTAGGGTGATGAAGCCACAGGGGCATCTGCTGGAGGAAGCCATGCTCTCCATGCTGCCAAGGGGCTTCGTACTGCCACAGGTTGGAGGAATTTAGAAGCGGATGGGAAATAGGGAGAGAGTGAGAGAGCGAGAGAGAGCGAGAGAGAGCAAGAGAAAACTTTTCGATAAAGCCAGCTTTGTTTTAGGTAGCCCAATGGCTTCAGCGGCAACACGCGCTTGGAGCAGGATTGCTGGATCCGCTGGGGCAGGTCAGTGCACCTTAAATATACCTTAAAAAAGCATAAAAACCATTACGGGTTACAGTAAACCGTCCTTGCGTGTACGGGGTATCCCAGCACTCGTTTATTAGCGATTTTCATAGCAACCATCAAATTCTAGAAATTTTCTAGAGAACAATCTGTTCTTTCGCATTATCGGGAGGACCAACTTTTTTTCTTAGGATTTAATTTTTCAAATAAAAAATTGTGGAAGTGTTTCTACCTGAATCTTACTATTTCTAAACGTGAAAACCTTACAAATTTTTATTAAAGAATATACAAAATAACAATTTTTGACCAAACTTTCGATTAGATATAGATAGTTTTTCTAGTTGCCATATAGTTATATTACTAAAAACACTATTAAAGCGGTTTTTATGACGTTCCTGGGCATTTCTTGACCTATAAAAAAAGTTCGCCCCCTGATAATGCGAAAGAACCGAAAAATCCTTATAATTGCAAGAAACCCGAGCAAAACCGCGGAAAAATCTACTGAAAGTGGTTACTGTAATCCTAAGAAAATGTAGAAATTTTTTTCTACTCTCAGCTATCTACCGTAGTCCATCGGAATCCCCCTAAAAACTCCCAAGATTCACCCCTTTCCCTCCGGGACCCATTTTTCGCCCTCGGGGGGCCCCGGGCAGGGGGACACGGTGTGAGCGATGTGAGAGCTATTGCCTCGGGTTTTGGGCTGTGATGCCCCGGGGCCAGGTCGCCAAAATGTTCCCCTGGGCCCCCACGAACACGGGCATACATTAAACGGTGCCCCTGAAAAGAATGGAGAAACAAAAGATCACTGGAGATTACGGGGGGCTCCTCGGAACGGGGGCTCGATCGCCCCATGGCTAGCCCCTGAATTCGACCCCGGGATTACCCCGGGGGCCCATCGCCCCCCACCCAACCAGGGGCCGCTTAGTCCCCTTAGGGCCCATTCCTGGCCCCTCTTAGGGCCCAGGTGCCCAGCTACCGTAGTCTCGGCCAGTGGGGGTGATAGAGAGGATCTGTACATGATGATGGCGGTGCTGCACTGTTAGCGGGGGGGGGGCGGCGGGATTTTCAGTAGAGGAGAACTGCTTTCGACTTTTTCCACCTCCACCGACCTGTTTATGATACTTTATGTATTATGTTTTTCTTAGTTTTTGATTGCCAGAAAGTTGTAAACAAGTTTTAAAGATCTTGAATACTCGAAAATTTTCCATTTTTCGTTTATTTTTTACCAAAAAAGCTAATAATTTTCGAAAATTTTGCTTAAGTTGATATGGTTTTTATCTCCAAAAACTATAATAAATGTTATACAAAAGGTTTATATTTTGCTATAGGGCCGTAGACAAGCACAAGGGAAACCTTGGTCCCCCCCGCTAACAGTCCAGCACCCTGATGGCAGGCGAGCAAAGATCATGGAGGAAAGGGCAAGTCGCCCCGCCACCTGAGGCTACCGTAATGAGGAGTGTCGTGAAAAACGCTAATTCTTAAGAGCAGGAATCATTGGGAAATGCGTATAGCTAGCTAGCGAATGGTTGCAGGAAGCGTAAGCCCGACGCTCTACCAAAAATAGCTTTTTTCGGCCGTAATTCAATGGCCACAGAAACGGCCAAGAAACCAGCGTCCAAAAATCAATAATAACCCCAGGGCCCTGATTTCATTGGCCTCACTTTCCGCGCTCTACCCCCAAAGCGGTGCGCCACCCGCTGCGCGCATCTGCCAGGCGGGGCTCTTGCTCTGAATCTGGGCCCCCGATCAGAGGGCCCATTTCGCGGCCGCGCCTATAAATCGACCCGGAAAGCGGGTGGTGGCAAGTGGAAGGGGGGGAGGACACTTTTTGTGGATTTAATGGCCATCAACACCCCATTGAATGGGACCATCAAAGCCAAGCCTGGCCAAACGACGACCACCCGCAAAGAGGGGGGCTAGCAGAGATTCTTTAGGAAAGGGCAGGCTAGCAGAGATTCTTTAGGAAAGGGCAGGCTAGCAGAGATTCTTTAGGAAAGGGCAGGCTAGCAGAGATTCTTTAGGAAAGGGCAGGCTAGCAGGGATGATTTGCGAACCTGGTTTAGCAAGGAATCATTTTTCCGTTCCAGGATGCCTCCTCCCCGTCGTCCAGCGCAAATCTGCTAGTCGTAGAAGAACGAGCAAGTAAGCTTCAAAAACGAGCAGTTTTTTGATATAATGGAAACATAGTCCTTTGAACGTAGACCTCTATTTTTAGATGCGGAATGCGTCGTTTGTGGCGACAAATCGAGCGGCAAGCACTACGGACAAAATTCGTGCGAGGGGTGCAAGTCGTTTTTTAAGCGGTGAGTTTCGGGAAAAGCTAACAAGCCAAAGAAAGCCAAAACTAAGCAAAGCCTAAGACAAACCTAAGCCTAAGCAATCCATTTCCAGATCGATCCGTCGATCGCTCTCCTACACCTGTCGAGGACAAAAGAATTGCCCCGTTGATATCAACCACCGGAATCAGTGTCAGTACTGTAGACTGCGGAAGTGTTTGAGGATGGGCATGCGGAAAGAAGGTACGCAGCTCTTTATTTCTCTCTTTCTCTCTCTCTCTCTCTCTCTCTCTCTCTTTCTTTCACTATCTCTCTCTCTCTCTCGCTCTCTCTCTCTCTAATGCACTTGTTTTTCAGAGCGTCTCTCCCTCCTGGCTTCTGTACAGCGTCCCCGACTACCGTACCCGAACCCACCACCCTTCCCCTTCCTACCGTTCCCGAACTTTGGCAATTTCCCAAATTTCCCACATTTCTTGCCATTGCTGGGCCCTGGTCCACTATTGGCCCCCAATCTGACGACGCCAGAGAACTTGAAGAGCTCTCCGGAAGAGGTGAGTTCCAGAGCGCAACCTAGCAGAGAGAATTGAGGAATCGGCGGGCAAGCAGCAACAGAGATTTTTGGTTCTTTCGCATCGTCAGGGGACCAACTTTTTTCTAAGGGTTTAATTTTGGAGATCTAAATAGTGGCAATGTTTCTAAATGGTTTCTACTATTCGGAAACGTTAAAACTTAACAAATTTTTATTAAAAAGTATAAAAAATATTGATTTTCGACCAAAAATGACCGATTTTGCACAAAATTCGAACGTTTGTAAGCTTTTTAGATAGTTTTTTCTACTTTAGATATTACTAAGAGCTATTAAACACCTTTTTTAGTAAATAACTGGGTTTTTCAAGGCTTCTACAAAGAGTTCCCCTCCCCCGCCCCCCGATAATGCGAAAGAACCGATGTTTTAAGAAAGCTAAGCCACATATTTCAGATCATCCCGAAATCAACCGATCAAAATGTTGAACAACTCTTTGAGCGTCTACTTGATGTGGAGGGTATGGTAGCGAGAATCTCAGATGTGGAAATATTTTCAGAAAATCTGCCGATCGAGCCGAATTTTCCCAAATTCTTGCTAGCCTGGGCACGGGAGCTCAAGCAGTTTGGAGAGCTGTCCTTACAGGATCAGGTGATGTGTTTGAAAACTTCAAAACTAACATCAAATTTTCTAGAAAGCGCTGCTACTGCATAATTACACGTCGCTGGCACTGATTTTCGATGAAGAGGCCGGAAATGAGGTATAGAATGTGAGAGAATCGATTCTTAAATGGCCTCTGCCAGCCTGCCCTTTCCTAAGGTATCTCTGCTAGCCTGCCCCCTTCCTAAAGAATATCTGCTAGCCTGCCCTTTCCTAAAAAATCTCTGCTAGCCTGCCTTTTCCTAAAGAATCTCTGCTAGACCGCCTTATAATTAGCAAAATCCGGCGTAATACGAGCATATTTAGGTCATCTCCACCCGCTTGAAGCAGATGGAGCTCAACAAAATTGAGCGAGTCCTGCTGAAGGGGATTTTGTTGTTCACTTCCGGTAAGTCCTAGAATTTCTTTATGTTAACCATTTCATATTTTTTAAATTATATGCGGCATAAATACATATAATACGTATTCATGGTTTAGATAAATGGTTCAAAAATTTAGAAGGCGTCGAACTGGAGGCAAAACCGGCGATAAGAAAGCTGCCAGAAGCCTTGGTGCACGTCTTGGCAGACAAGTTGAAAGATAGAAAGGTACATTTTTGCATTAAAATTATTAAGCATGCCACAATCGAAAAAAATGATTTTATTGGTTTAATGGCACCATTTCTTGGTCATAAACTTTAATTTTCTGTTTCAGGACGGTCGTCTCGCTAAAATCCTCCTCTTCCTCCCCTCCCTCCTGAATCTAGAAATTTCGGAAAGCGGAAGATCCGGAATCGAAGCCCTCTTTCAAGTAAAACAGAAATTTTCAATTACTATTTATTAACTTCAGCCTCGAAACCTACCCCAAAGATGTGGTCAATATCGGGAATTCTGCCGGAATAGCTTCATAGAATTTTGTATGCTGCTTTTTTGATTTCAATTTTTGAGGTGCTTTGTGCAATTATTCGATTTGTGATCGAGACCTAGTCAAATAAAAATGGCCATATTGTATCAGTTTTATTTTAGGCTTTCATGAATAAATGTTTTAAACTTGAGCATGAAGCCTATGCCTAAGCCCAAGCCTAAGCCTAAGCCTGGTCTAAGCCTAAGTCTAAGCCTAAGCCTAAGCCTAAGCCTAGTCTAAGCCTAAGCCTAAGCCTAAGCTAAGCCTGAGCGTAAGCTTAGGCCGAAGTCTAAGTCTACGCCCAGGCCTAAGCCGAAGCCAAAGCGGAAGCCTAAGCCTATGTCTAAGCCAAGCCTAAGCCTAATCTTAAGCGAAAACCTAAGCGTAAACCTAAGTCCAAGCCTAAGCGTAAGTGAAGCTAAAGCTTTTTCCACACCCAAACATATTAAAGCTATAAAACTAGAAAAGCTACAGTACCCGTCGTTTTAAAACCGCCGCCCGGAAATACACATATTTCATCTTGAAAAAGTTAAACCCCTTATATCATCGCACTTCGGTCGACCGGGCCGGATGAAATTCCCGCAATCCCAGAAAATTGCAATTCCTGGCTATATAAGGGTCCCCTCAGGCCTCTGGCGGGCCCTAAGCTGGGCCCTAAGCCGCCAAATCCACCTGCTCGCTTCTCCTCTCAACAACACACCCACCCTCGATTTCAGCGAGGCTGGAAATTCGCAGAATTATTCCATTCTGAATTCAGCCGGCAGTGCCTTGCAATTTTCTTCAAATTCTAGAATTCTAAATCTTTTCAAAATTTACATATTTATATGGGCAACGTCACCCTGTTGGTCAACACCACCGCCGAGCTCGACCTCGAGACGAATTTGCAGATTTTTAGTACGATGAAATTTGTGTCGGGTGAGTGCTTAGGCTTAGGCTTAGTTTAGCTTGGCTTAGGCTTAGCTAGCTTAGCTTCGGTTTCGGTTTTGGCAAAGGCGTAGAAACCTAATAATATTTTTATGCCAGAAAAATCTTGCGTCATGCTTTTGCTGCTTTTAAATGGTTTGTCAAAGCAGTAAAATCCTTGAAATTGCCGGTTTTGATTTTAAACAATATTTACAGTAGTCACAACGATGATCAATATTTTGGCACTGTATATTATTGTAATGAGGACGCCGGCGCATATGCGGGCTTATGGACGAGCGCTGGCAATCTATCAGGTTTGTTCCCGAATGATCTCTGCTAGTCTACCCTTTAATTCCCAAACAATTTTTGGTAGCGCTCTCTCTCACTCTTTATCTGTCTCTCGCTCTCTCGCTATCTCGCTATCTCTCTCTTTCTCGCGCTCTCTCTATCTCCCGCTTTCTTTAGCTAGGTCTCTTTCTGGTACTCCCTCATACCCTCAATTCCTAAATAATCTCTGCTAACTCGCCTCTGCAATTCCAAAATTATCTCCGCCAGTCTGCCCGCCATCCAACCCATATTTTTCAGATAATCTCCCTACTAACCGACTCGTTGGTCAACTCGGCGCTGGTTCCGTATTTCATATTTCCGGTACCAGGCGGGTATCCTCTTGGTTGGATGACTCGAGTTGGCTTTTCGACGCAGCTACAAATCGTGAGTCATTTTTTGGGCTGGTTTGACCGAAATCTGAGGGCAGGCTAGCAGAGAACATCGGGGAAAGAAAACGAAAACTTAGGGCACTGGGGGGAAGTTAGCAGAGACCATTGGGGAGGGAACAGACCCGGGGGAGCAGAGACTATTTTGGAATGCAGGCCAGCCAGCAGAGAGTTTTGGGAATCAACGTCAGCCTAGCAGAGATCCCTTAGGCAATTGAATATACCTAACCGGAAAAAATGCACCCAAAAAAGCATATGGTCTTTCTCGGGTTCATTTGTTCTGAAAACAGATTTCACCTGCCCGTCTAAAAAGCGCCCGGAAATGAAGTTTTGTTCTTGTAAATGAAACGAATGATAATTATATTCGTTTAATATTCAATTAAAATAATTTGGGCCCCGGATTGGGAAACAAAACAGTAATTATTATGAAACAACGACATTTAGACGTTGGGATTCATGGCCGGAATTCACTTGGGGGTGATTATCGCCGTCATGTTTCTGATTCGACATCAAGCGATTATGCCGGAAGTACACCCGTTGAAGCTGGCCCCACGGTAATTCGTTTGATCATACTAAAACAGTTCATTTAAAGTAAGATAACAAAATTAAATTTATCAACAGTTGATTTATATCGTCTATTATTAACAATTTAGCATAAACTACACTTTCTATGCCGTGATCCAAGTGCTTCCCTATCTTCACATTGGCCTCTTTTTCTTTGAAGTCTTCACCAATGACGATCAACCGTCGGCTAAGAAATATTATAAAGAGGTGAGGTTTTAGGTATTATTTTTATTATTAAATTTTCCAGATCCTATTTATCGACTCAAAAACGTTAAATTTCCACAAATTTATTGTTTAGAAATACCCGTTCTTACGTCGTTTCATCGACGTGGACACTTTTTACGTGTTTTCACCGGAAGTCGGCACCCTGGTGGTGGCAAATATCTCGATATGGATCGCGTTTTTTATTGTTGCTGTTTTTGGTGAGTTCACAAAAATTTAATTTATGAGTTTTTAGTTGTATTAAAGTTATAGACTCACAATATCTTTCGCAAAAATTTACTTAATCGGTATTCCCGAAAATTGTGATCCTTTAGGAGCGTGCGGCTCGAGTTTCCACGTGCTGACACGACGGAAAACGATGATGAGCGCGCGGACGTACAAATTACAGCAGCAGTGGATTAGCAAATGTATTCTACAGGTATCTGAACTGACCGGCAAGCTAGCAGAGATTCTTTGGGGAAGGAAAACCTAGCAGAGATTCTTTAGGAAAGGGCAGGCTAGCAGAGATTCTTTAGGAAAGGGCAGGCTAGCAGAGATTATTTAGGAAAGGGCAGGCTAGCAGAGATTATTTAGGAAAGGGCAGGCTAGCAGAGATTCTTTAGGAATGGAAAGTTCAAGCTAACAGAGATCACTTGGGACATTTTCAGGTTGCGATCCCATTAATAACCTTCTTATGCCCGGTTTTCTTGTCTTTTTACATCTATTTCACCGATGCAATCCATTTAACAGGTATGTTTTGATAAAATGTGAATTTAATTTTTATCTAATTTTGATACAACATTTCAGGATTAATGCCGGTTGCCGTTTCTGTACTTGGACAGCACGGGTTTTGCTCTACCGTAGTGACGATGTTGCTCTACCGACCTTATCTAGTCTACCTCAAGCAACGAACCTGGGATTTTTTGGCCTTTACCTTGCCTTGTAAGTTGAGAGGACTTTGCGGGCAGGCTAGCAGAGTTTTTTAGGCAAGCGCAGGCTGGCAGAGATCCCTTAGAAGGCAGTACAGAGATAAAAATAAAAATATAAAAATTAGCAGAGTTTTTTAGGCAAGCGCAGGCTGGCAGAGATCCCTTAGGAACGGGCAGGCTAGCAGAGATTCTTTTGGAGTGACAAAATGACTCGACCTAGGCAAGCCAGCAGAAGCATTTTTGGGTCTTTCAATCTAGTAATGCCTGAATTTTCAGTCCTCTTCGAGCCCCGTACCTTCGTCGGACTGGAAGCGGCGACGATAGTATTCCGACGTAGTCAGGACGGTAATAAGCGACGCTTCTCCTTAGTGGCTCGAATTGTAGCTACACGTCATCACTTCAATCAACAATTTTCACAAACCAATCAGAATATCATAGGAGGCCCCTGAATAAAGAATAAAAAGGCAAAAATTCTGTTTTAAAATCTTGGTGCTAGACTGTTAACGGGGGGGGGGGGGATTCTTAGCCGGGCAACGACTTTTTGTTTTTCTACCTAACCTAAAAAATACCTGTTGATGACATATTATGTATTTTTATAGTGTTTTTAGTGGCTGTTGAACGCTTAGAAGTTATAAAAATATTTTTAAAAATGTTGAAACTTCGAGAATTTCACCTTTTTAATCATTTTTCATAAATTTTTTACCAGAAAGTCAAACATTTTCGAACATTTTCATTATTTTTGGGTTGTTTTTTGATATCTAAAAGCTATTTAAATGCTACAAAAATAGTTTGTAGTTTGTTTCCAGACGCTAAATATTTTATAGTAATTTATTAATCATATTTTTGCACAATGTATCAGCGCCCTTCTTCGACTTCTGTCTCATCCTCATCTTCCTCTTGCACGACGTCATCCTCAGAATCGGGCTCTGATTCCGAGTCGTCGTCGTGTATTCTGGATTCCTCAGACTCCTCCGCCCAGTCGTGCTCCTTTTCGGGCTCCGGGGGGTTTTCTTCGGATTTTTGAGCCGCTTTGGACTCCTCTTTTTCTTGCGGATATTCAACTAATCGTTCTACATGCAGATAGAAGGAAGAGATGGCTATTCTGTAGATGCCAGTCTTAGATTCTTCAAACGACGTCGTTTCCGGGCCTTTTAGATGGTCGAGCTGAAAATTAAGCGGGATTAAAGGGACTGGGGGCCCCGGAGAGTTTTTTTTGGGTAGCCTAGCAAAGATTATTTAGCAAAGGGCAGGCTAGCAGAGATTCTTTAGGAAAGGGCAGGCTAGCAAAGATTCTTTAGGAAAGGGCAGGCTAGCAGAGATTCTTTAGGAAAGGGCAGGCTAGCAAAGATTCTTTAGGAAAGGGCAGGCTAGCAGAGATTCTTTAGGAAAGGGCAGGCTAGCAAAGATTCTTTAGGAAAGGGCAGGCTAGCAGAGATTCTTTAGGAAAGGGCAGGCTAGCAAAGATTATTTAGCAAAGGGCAGGCTAGCAGAGATTCTTTAGGAAAGGGTAGGCCAGCAGAAATTCTTTAGGAAATCACTTGGCAAACTAGCAAAGATTCTTTGACAACCGAACCTACCGAGATCTGATCCACAGGCCGAAGAATTAGACTCTTGAAGCGGTATGGCGCCTCTTCGTTGCGAATTTTCTAAAATTTATCGTTTTTCGGTTTTTCGCAATTTGCATACCTGAAGATATGCCGAAATCTCGACGCCCGGCATGAATACGTCCAGTGTATCGCGGCGTAGCTTTAGGAAGTCGATTTTTCTTTGGACCAGCTGGCCGTTGGGTAGTAGAATTTGGCGTGGTTGTCGCAGGGAGAAGCATAGGGTTGAGGTGGAGGGGATCTGGAAAAGCGGAATATCTAGAAAGGCGAGAGATAGAGGGAGAGAGGGAAAGAGAGCGAGAGAAAGAAACCATACCTTTGCATCACATAAAATCGCCGACAACTTCTCGGTATCAAAATGCCGACAAGCGCAGTAGGGCGGGATTTCCGAATGGCAGCAAAAATCTTGATGAATGTGCAGCTGAAAGTGCTTGTAAATCGCATTAAATAGTGTAATCAGATTTTTAAAAATTGAATACCTACCCTCTCAATTCTCGAGCCAACCAGCCGCCCCAACATCACCGGCAAGTCTTCCACGCACGGGAATCGTAGCTGCACATTTTCGACGTGTTTTAGATTTAGTCGATCGGCGGACCGGGGATTTTTCTAAATGTTTTTCATAACAGCTTTATTGTTTATTCCCTATTTTATCGAATTTTTATATAAGATGCCTTTATTGTATTTTTTAGACTTACCGGTTGAAAAGGGTCGACGAAGAGGCGAAGAGATCTTGCGAGTAGATTTTTTAAGACGTCTCGAAATAACCGAGCAGCGCCTTGAGGCGGAAGGTAGATGAACGTGCTGAAAAAGCGAGGTTACGGTAGCTTAAGTGATTTTTTTTAATTCCCAAAAAATCTTTGCTAGCCTGCCCCCACCTTTCTCTGATCGGCTGATCGAGCAAAATGCTCGTCGACTGGAAGCTGTAGCTTTTCGCCTCGGCGCGTATCGTCTCGTTGCCGCGCTGCAGGTCTAGCCACTGGAAAAAGGAATTAAATTTACGGGTAAGTGCAAGAGAGAGAGAGAGAGAGAGAGAGAGAGAGAGAGAGAGCGAGAGAGAGCGAGAGAGAGAGAGAGAGAGAGCGCGAGAGAGAGACAGGGAGGGAGAGAGCGAGAGAGAGAAATTTTGTAATTTCCACTGACCTTCCCGTTTTCCTCCGCTTCCAGAGAGTCCAGTCTATTTGGCAAATAGCCAAAATTCCCAATTTTCCGCCGAAGTAGACGATTTGAATGGCGAAGACCAAGGCGGTCGGGTAGGGACAGCTTTGCAAAAATTCTTTCTTGAATCTCCAGGGGCAGCGTTTCGAAGTCGAATGGCATTCGACCTGAAAGTGGCTAAATATGCCTATTTAACAAATTAAAACGAAAACCCATTGGCTTAAAAGGGCAGTAAAGCATAAAAAACAACCAAAATAGAACAGCCCAGAAAAACTAGGTTTTTTTTGAAAAATATTTATTGACAAGATTACAGTAATCCCATCAAAATTCGATAGTTAGGATAAAACCCGGAATTTCTAGGGCTACATTAAATAGCTAAAATAATCGTAAAAACGAAAAAAACTATATGAAAAACTACGGTAAACCAATCCAAATGAGGAGGTACATAAAACCGTTAAAAATTTCAAAGCGGCTGCCTGCCCCCAGAAATCTACAGTAATCGTGTTTTTCGGCTATGAAAAGTCATTAACCACGTGCGTATGCAAATTCAAAGAAAAAACAAATAAAAATAACCCCTAAAACCACCCTAACCCCAGGGCTCACAAATCATGCGGGATCTTGGGGTCCAGTGGTGAAAAGTGGCGGGATGCATGCCTGCGGGCTCAAAAATGAGGTCGTTGGGTGGAGAGAGAGAGCGCGAGAGAGAGAGAGAGAGAGAGAGAGAGACGGAGAGAGATAGTGAGTACGATGCCTGGGGTCATACTTTTGCCCCTGGCAGCCGATGAATTGCCAGAGGCAGCCGGCACGACCTCACCAAAGTAGCGATAGACCAGACGGACCGATCGATCCCCTGAGGGCATCTTTGGGACAAGGTAAGGAAGTCAGACACGCTCCTAAACGATCACTGCTAGCCTGCCCGATCGAACATGGTTTTTAAATAGTTAAAATTGGAAAATCTTGGTCATTTTCAAGTGACATCTTTAGCAAAAAAAAACAAAAGTTTTCAAATTTTGTCACAGGGAAAGTCCATTCTCTCTGCCAGTCCAGACCCAAAATATTAGGCATGGATTGCTGACCAATTGCAAAATTTTCGCCAATAATCTCTGCTAGTTTGCCCTGGATCTAAGCCACTAGCGACGAGCGAGCGAGCGATGCACACAGCGACGAAACGACGTGAAAAAGCGAATTTTTAAAGGAAGTCTGCTAGCTTGCTTTTAATGCGTGTGCTGTTAGACTTAAGATTAGGGCCTAGACGGCTGTAATTAAGGAAAAATCGTAGCGTAGTGATGAGGTAGACTAGTGGGTGCATAATTGAATGAGTAATTCCCCAAATAATTGTGGACATAAAGTGGATGTGGATGTTGTGGCCTTATCAGCCGATATACTAACGGCGCTATCATCCTTATCAGGGGCCTAGCAAGCGTAAAAAATATCAATATCGTAGTGACTTGCATAATCAGCAGCATAAATTTTTCTTTTCAAAGTCTGCAACTCTTCAAACCTTCTTAAATTTTGTTTTTGTAAGTTTTTCTAACCGGCTTTATTCCACATCGTATCCCCAATTTAAAGATACATTTTAAAGCGCAAATTCCCGAAGCAAAGTCTTTTTTAGATCCATTTGTTCGATTTAGAGTGGCATCGTCTCCAGGTCGACGCTGCACTTGACGAAGATGGTGTCGTCCTAGAAGGTATATCGCTCTCTCTCGCTCTCTCGCTTTTTCTCTCTCTCGCCCTCTCTCTCTCTCTCTCTCGCCCTCTCTCTCCGTCTAACGCAAAAATCCATACCACAATGAACGACTCGAGCTGGGCGAGGTCGCAGAACTTCTGAGCCCCGAAAGCCGCGTTCCGCTCGCTGACCGGGCGTTCAAGGAAAACCTGAACCGGTTTTTAAAGGGAGTGTGGCAGCTGGGCTACCCGATTTTCACGCGACGTGATTGGCTTGACGACGTAGCTCTTGTTGTTGCGGTTGCCCTCGAAGGAATTCTAAAGCATCACAGTTCTCGCTCTCTCTCTCCCTCTCTCTCTCTCTCTCTCTCTCCCTCTCTCTCTCCCTCACCTGATCCATCAGCGTAAATGTGACTTTGTGCACAAAAGGCCACGGTAGTAGAGCGTCGAATTCGCCTCGCATTATGGCCACGTAAATTGAGAAATACTGGCCTCGCACTAAAAATTGGATTCCCAAATGTTCACTGCTAGCTTGCCTGGCCCATCGCCATACGGGCAGACGCTGCAGATCATCTTGTAGCCATGGCGCCCGGACATGAATGGGGTCGAAAAGATGGTGGATCTAAGCAAAAATTCTCTAAGAATCGCTGCTAACCCCTAACCAGTAAATAAATGGTCTCTGCTAGCCTGCCTTTCCTAAATAATCTTTGCTATCATGCCCTTTCCTAAAGAATCTCTGCTAGCCTGCCGGAATTTCCTAAATGATCTCTGCCAGCTTTCGTTTTATAGATTTCTTTTTGTTGTAAACCGACTTTGCCCCCGACTTGGCTTCGTTCAGCTTCTGCCGGAAGTTGTCGATGCGCCAGACGAGCTGGGCCCCGTAGAGCTTCTCGAGGAGGTCACCCTAGTTTTGCGATTTGCAGTGAGGCGTAAGCTTCGATACCTTAAGCTGCAGCTCCTGCATGGCGCCGGTCATCGTCTCCATCTGCACCTGCATGTGGGCGAGCAGCATCTAGGAGTTCAAGGTTTCGTGTCACGCTGCGTTTAATAGCGAATAAACTGGATATCTACCTTCAGCTCGACGACGCCGTCACATAGGTAGGTGAGATGGCGGATGGGCTCTTGGCTGATGTGCTTTTGGAGAGACTGAAACGGAATGAGAGAGAGAGTAAGAGAGAGGGAGAGAGAGAGAGAGGGAGAGAGAGAGAGAGGGAGAAAACACCTTACCTCCTTCTCACCAGCAAAATTACACCCAAATTCTCCAAACGGGCATCCATTCCCCCGTTTCGGGCATAGGGCCTGAT